GTCGCCCTGCGATTTCCATGTGTTTGCTCTACTGAAAAAACACCTGAAAGGGAAGCGCTTCAACTCGGACGACGTACTCAAGGACGCTGTGAAGGACTGTGTCTAGTCACGGCCACAGGAATTCTGGGAACAAGGAATCCTGCTGCATGTTCATCAGTGGAATCGTTGTGCTCAGGCCTATGGTGTATATCAGTGATTATCAAACTTATTTCTTTTACCGCCCCCTTTGAAAATTAATTATTTTTCAGCGCCCCCCATTTTTTACACACTCCTAAAACTTAAAAACCACAATTTCATTACTTTAATTAATTTAGTCATACGTATTAGTCGGTTCTGATGTTTAAACTTACATTCTAAACTAGAAATTTTTACCAGTGAGAGCAAATAAAACCCAACTTTATAATATTAATAATATATTTTAATCAAATTAAAAGAAACAATATAAATATGTAATCAGTTTTCGTTTTTATACTAATCTAATGAGATGGATGAATTTGATGATATTTAATAAGTTTGTTGATATCAGGTTCAATTTTACTCAAAAACAGTCGTAAAGTCGCCGCGTTTGGTAACTTGCAAATGATTTCTCTTTTTAGTAAGCAGCGTTGTCACAGAGCTAAATCCACGTTCACACAAATATGACGATGGGAATGCTATCAAAAATCGTTCAACGATAGACCACAATCCAGGGTACAACTGCGGAATTGTCTTTTGTAGTCAAAATTGTTGGTAGCCATTTTTTTATTTGATTTTTATTTCCTCGTTCATTGTCAGTTCTGTAAGTTCTTCTTCCAACTGGGGTGATATTGCTATATTGACATTTGAGTCGCTCAGAAGCCAATGCGGTTAAGTCCAAAACACAACAATTGAGAAAATAAATGTTTTTTGATACATTAGTTTTTAAAATTCTTGGTTTATTAATTTAATTAGAAAAGTGTATAAAGTCTTTTTTCGAGGAGTAAACTCTGCGAAAAAAACAAGATATGTACAAGATGTGTAAATAAAAACGTAAGTATTTATTGAAATAATGACAGCATCTTAAAAATTTTAGGACTTATACCTTTTGGCAGCTGAAAAAGATAAGAAATTTATGTCTACTAGTATAAACGAACTTTTATTTTTCTCAATCATCACTAGATACAGTGACTAATAGAAAATAAACTGTTGGATTATCTCAAAAATTGTTTTTTACTTCAAAACTAGAGTGGCACTTTTCTTTGTTTTAGGAAATGAAAATAAAATAAATAAATAAATAAAATACCACATTTTAAAAAAAATCTACGAAAAATACCATACCCCTTTTTTTGGTGAAAAAATACTACCGTAGTATTAAAAATACTACGTCTGGCAACCCTGATACTATGAATTTCTTGTTTTTCAGTGTTACCAACAAATATCGACAGAAGAAGAAGAATTTAATTTTTATTTCAAAGTTTATGTAAAAAAATATTGATAAAAGGTGGACTTATTCAAAATGGCTTCTGAAATGATTATACAATATATTCAGAAGCTATTAAAAAAAGGGCTATCTAACCTAGAAAAAAGTAACCAACAAGTAAATCCTTTAATAACTAAGAAGATTATTATTTATTTCATCAAAATTTCCAAAAATCAGAAAATATCAAAAAATGAACTTAACCGCATAGGCTTCTGAGCGGCTCATTTGAAAAAGGATCTAACACCCAGTCTGGTATTTGCAATTTCAAAATGTCCTGGAATCTTTCAATGAAATAACTGTGAAGATTTTCCAGATGTTGGCAGTAGACGAGCAAGTCGTCATTGTTGCAGGATACTGATAAATTGTGAAAATTATGGAACTCACGTCTGCCGATATTCTTTTTGTGTAAGAGCAGCTTGGCTACAAAAGCAGCGACGACATTTTTTGTTTTTATTAAGTTCAAGTCATCGCCTTGAAGTTGGAGATTCATATCATTAAGCAATGTATAAAGGTCTGTCAGGTATGCGATATCATTCTTTGATGTGATGAGGTTTTCGCGCAATTCTGTGTCTTTGTTTTCCAGGAACTCTATGACAGAGTCAAACAGATTGTAAAAACGAGTCAGACAATTTCATTTTGATAGCCAACGCACTTCTGTGTGAAAGATCAATCTGTTGAAATCTTCATCATTATCAACACAAATCTGATTAAATAATTTGTCATTTAAAGAGTTGTTTCGGATTTTATTGACTGCTCTGATGACATGTTGCAATGATTGAAATAGTCGTTCGCTTAAATTTCTAGCAACTAAATGCTGTTGATGTATAACGCAATGTACAGCAAGCACATCAGGAATTTTCTTTTTTAAGTACGATATGAAGCCTTTTTGACACCCCGTCATAGCTGAAGCACCATCTGTAGCAGCTGATATAATATTCTTCAACGGAATTCCTTTTTCATCATAAAACTTTTCCAGTGTTTTAAATACGGTTTCTCCTTTCGTGTCTGTCTCTAAATTTCTAGCAAATAAAAGTTCTTGACATATTTTTTCATCTTTAATAAATCTCACGTAAGACAACAACAATGCTTCATTAGTTGGTAAAGTGGACTCATCCAACTGAATTGAAAATTTACTAGTCTTCAGATGATTGCACAATGACTTTTCAATGTTTTCAGCCATTTCATCAATTCGTCTTTGGACAGAACTATTGCTCAAAGGAATTTTTCGAATTATATCTGCCGCCGGTTTATGGAGCACAGTAGTTATAACTTCTTTTATCGCCGGCAAAATTAACGTTTCTCCGATGGTGTGTGGTTCACCTGTTTGAGCAATTAACAGAGAGATATTGTA